GTCCTCCTTCCTACCCCCTTTCTCCCTCCTTTCGGGAGATGCCCTCCCGCTTCTGCAGCCGGTCCTGCCTGGGGGCTGTGCCTATTTCCCCGGCCTAGGGGAGCAGAGGCCCCTGTGTTCCTGGTGCAGCTGGTGGCCCTGGCCCAGGGAAGGGGAGGCTGAGGCCAGGGTGTTTCTGCCTTCGGCACTTAGCAGTCCTCACACCTGCTGCGGGGGAGGCAGGCCAGAGGCTAGGAGTGTAGTCCAGTGGAAGGAAGCCGGAGGGGTGGGGCGTCAGCGGCCCCAGACACCGGCCGTGCCCACAGGCCATCTGGGGGGGCCAAGAGTTTGGGGGGAGGAGAGGAGAGGAAGAAGAGTCCCGCTGGCCTCTGCCTGTCCCTGACTTTTCGGCCTTTGTCACATTTCGTGCTGTGAAGTCATTGTTATCAGCCCATTTCACAGGGCGGAAGACGGGCTCGGGGGTGTAAGGTTTCAGATACCAGCTACCATCTGCCATTCAGCTCGTCTGGCTGGCTGCCTCCGGTGCCTGGTGTTCTGGTTAAAACAGAAATGCTGGGCTCTTGCTCCTAGAGCGTCCTTCCTGACGAGGCCTGGGATGGGTCTGAAGTTCATAGTTTCAAAGCTCCCCACATTTAGGGCCTCCCATGATCTTTGCCCAAGATCACACGAGCTGGAGAAACCTGACAGCGTCAGAATTTGAACTCAGGGCTGTTGGCTCCGGATCCACCATAGCCCAGGTGCCTCTGAGGCAGGGATGCGGAGGGCGCGGGGCAGGGCGGTTGAGGGGGAGGCTGGAGGACAGGAAGGCTCAATGCTGGGTCCCTGCTGCGGCCCGGACGCCTGCCCTGGTCTCTCCTTACTCCTCAGGACATCCCTGGTAGGCAGGCACCACACTCCCCTTTCAGAGATGAGCACACGGAGGCCTTGACACGCCAGGTAACTAGGAGAGGCTCACGTGGCCCCAGAGCCTGGAGCAGAGTCCTCCTGGGTCTGCCCAGAATCACAGGGAGCTTTAAGATTATACCATAACCTGGCCCTGCCCGGACCATTTGCATCAGAACCGGGGGCGGGTGGTACAAAATTGTCAGGGTGGTTGTGACGCAGTCAGGGCAGCGAGAGAAACAGAGTCCTGAGCTGGCCCTGGAGGCAAGAGCCGGTCTCAACGACCCCAGGTGACCTCCCTGGCCGGGACTCCACTGTTTCTTGCCAGCCCAGGGCCGGGGAGGTACACACACCAGGAAGATACCTCGGAAAACCCGGGGACCTCTGCTGTGAAGCCAGCTGGGGCCAGGGTGCAGCCGATTCCCTCTCCTTTCTCTCAGGACACCCCCCACCCCCTCAACCTGGCCCCAGGTTGGGGGTCCCCCACCCCCCACCCCCCAGGGCCTGGATGCTGGGCTCTGCAGGTGCAGAGTGTGGGAGACACGGTGCCGGTCCTCACTGAGTGTAGACACAGACCCTAACGGAGATCCAGATCCCTGGGGGGCTGTGCTGCCTCCCTGGATGGGGTGGAAGCTCCAGGGCCATGACCTTACTGCTATAGGTTCAACACGGCCGTGCAGCGCCCCCTCCGCTCCCCTCTTGTCAGCCTTCAACAGGCATAGGTAGTGACTCTCCTCTGCCAGCCCCTGCCGGCCTCCTGGGTGCCCGGCTGCTGGGCATGCTGTGGGGGGGGCACGGGGTGGCTTCCCAGAGACATCAGCCAGGCCTAGCTCCCCCCGCACCCCTGCCCCACCACCTGTCCCCAGAGTACCTGCAGCCCAGTGCCCTGGCCGGGCCTGCGTGCCGTGGCCTCTGGAAAGAGAGGTGCCTGGATTTGGGCTTGATCAGGGGTGGAAGCCTCAAGGAGGGAAGGACAGAAGAGGAGGGGAGGGAGGAGCTTGGGATGGGGAGCGTGGGTGGGAGAGGAGCCCTCGGATCACAGAACTGAAGCTCAGTCCAGTCCGGAGGGAGTTTGTTTGGTTTCGTTTAGTGTTTACTTTTTAAAGCAAGCTTTTTATGTTGGGATACTTGTAGATTCATCTGGGGTCAGAAATAAGAGAGATTCCAAGCACCCGCTACCCAGTGTCGCCCGTTGGTGATACGTATAAAAGTACCCTACAAAACCACAAACGAGACACGGATGTCGATACAAGGCACCGATCTTACTGACGCTTTCCATTTCGCCTGTACTCGCGTGTGCGTGTGCGTGCGTGTGTACACGTGTGTTTCGTGTTCATGTCTCTCTCACCCGTGAGGGTCACGGATCCACTGCCATAGCCCAGACGCGGACCGGTTCCAGCGCCACGAGGACCCCTGACCCCTGTCCACCGGGAGCCGCCCACCTGCTCTCCATCTCTCTCTCTAATTTTGTCGTTTCAAGAAAGCTGTATAAATGGAATCAATCACCATGTAACCTTTTGGGATGGGCTTTTTTCACTCAAACTGATCCCTTGGAGATTAATCCAGGTCGTTGTGTGTATCAATGGTCCATTCTTTGTATTGCCGAGTAGTGTTCCACCGTGTGGGTGGACCACAGTTGATCTACTTGTCGGCAGAAGGCCCTTGGAGTGTGTCCAGTGTTTGGCTATCAAGACCAAGGTGGCAGGTGTGTGTGTGTGACCATAAGCTTCTGTGTCTCTGGATAAATGCTGGAGGGAGCGGGGGCTGAGCCCCGTGGTGGCTGCATGTTCAGTTTTCTTTTGTTTTTTAGTAATCCCTACACCGCATGTGGAGCTCGAACTCGCAGCCCTGAGATCAACGGTTGCAGACTTCTCTGACCCGGCCAGCCGGGCGCCCTGCTGTAAGCAGCTGCCGAGCTCTTTTTCCGAGGAGCGGCACCATTCAGCATGCCCACGGGCGCTCTGTGAGGGACCCCGCTTCTCTGCCCATTCGCCAGCATTTGGTGTGGTCCCTAGTTTTTATTTTAACCTTTCTGACGGGTGTGTCGTGATACCTCATTGCGGTTTTAATTCACATTCGCCTAATGGCTCACGATGCCAAACATCTTTCCATGCGGTCGTTTGCTGTGTGTGCATCCTCTTCGGTGAAAAGTCATTGTTGAGTCTGAAGTGAGTTTCTTGTAACAGCATGTCACTGGGTCGTTTACAAAAATAGACTCTGCCAATCTCTTCCCTTTAAGTGGTGTTTTAAAATCATTCACGTTTAAGGTAACTTCTGTGTTAGGATTTAAGTCTGCTATTTTTGTGTTGATTTTCTATTTGTTTCCTGTTTCTCTTTTCTTGCCTTTCCATGCATTGCTTGAACATTCGGATTCCATCTTGATTTATTCACAGTGATGTGGGGTGTATCTATCTGCAGTTGTCCTCGTGGTCACTCTGGGTATGACAACCCGCGTCATCTACCACGTCGACGATTAGCCGCTTGGAGTGATGTGTGGACCACTCTCTCCCATTTAGGTCCCTTTACCTTCTGACTTTCTGACAATTTTTAGATAGGCTGGGGGTCTGCGAACGCAGGAGTTAAATGACGGGGTGAACACTGGCGCACAGCGGTGCCCCCCGTCGCCCCCTCCCGCCCCCAGATGGTGCAGCATGGTGAGGGGAGCCCATGTTGTCCCCTTGCAGACTCCGTCTGGCTCATTCTGCCAGGCACCACGTGTTGATGTCCCCTGCACTGCCAGGCCAAACCAGTGCCCACCAACCCCAGAACCTTCTGCAGTTAAGTTCTTAAGAGTGGAGTCTCATGAGCAGGAGGGAAAAAAAGCAGTTTCCTGTTCAACATGTTAACGCTGCTCACCCAAAACACCCCAGAGAGACCTCAGGCAGGGAAGAAATTGGCATCAAAACTCCTTGACGGGATGCCGGCCCGGGAAAGGCCGCAGGGCCCAGCCCCGTTTGCTCACCTGGTGGTGCAGCCATCCTGTTGGCAGGCAGCAGGGAGAGTGGAAACAAGGTGTGGTGGCCAGGGGTGCTGGCGTGTAGGGTGCAGCGGCCCTGGGGCCTCACCACGTGGGTGCCGGGAGGCGGAGGGAGCTGTCAGAGCAGGCCAGGGGGACCCAAAGCCCTTTCCAGGGCCTGGGTTAGCTGGCCTGTCTACCCACAGCTCATCTGCCTGCCCTCTGCTTTCAGGTGCCTCCACCCCAAACCCTGTCCAAGTCCTGGATCCTTCTGCTGGGATGTGCCTGGGAATGTGCCCTTCTCCCCACGGTTTGCATGGGATGCCTGTGTATGTATATATATGAGTACGACGCGTGTGCTTATGCATGTGTGCATTGTATGTGCACAGTGCACCTCCGTGTGTGTGCACGTACAATGCGCGTGCACGTGCATATGCGGGCGGGATGCACGTGTGTGCTTGTGTGCGCGCACTTACACATGTGCGATGCACGTGTATGACACGTCAGCATTCGGCCTTATGGTGGGCAAAACCAAAGCAAACATCAACAATGAACTGGAAGCAAGCAAAGTGTACATCTTTGGGGGAATGACCCCATCCACTGAAGGACATTCACATCGCAGCTATCAGGCAGCCTCACAAAGCAGGGACTTAATCTATGTTCCCTGAGATGGAAGATGGTCATCAAATGTTGGGTAAAGAGGAATAAAGCCCAACAGAGGGCATGCGGCTTGATCCCCATTTTAATCATCCCCCCTCATGCATGTGTTGTGGTATGAACGTGAGAAATCTGTGGCAAACTCCCAAACTGGCTGCTGATACTGGAGACCCGAGGGGATGGGAATTCGGGGAGGTGGGGGACGTGATAGGGGTTTTTTGTGGCAGGATTTTGCACTGTCTCACTCGTTAAAGTGAGGGTATCTTCCTTGTAAAAACTAGCTTTATTGACGTGTAACTGGCATTCGAGACACGTGTTTCAAGGGTAGAGTTTGATAAGCTTCGGCTGTGTATACACCCGTCCAACTATCACTACGACCGAGGCCGTGAACACATCCATCAGCCCCGACATTTCCTGTCCCACCCCCACCCCCCAAGGCTTCCCCAGGCGGCCCCCGGTCTGCTTCCTGTCACCACAGATCTGTTTGCATTTTGTGCCTTTTGTGTGGATGGAAGCATCCCGAGTGTCCTCTTCTGGGCCTGGCTTCTCTCCCGCTCTTGCGGGGTGGCGTTCCACTGCATGGCAATAACTCGGTGTGTTTCCCCACTCACCTGGGGATGGCTGGTTTCCAGTTTCAGGCTGTTACAAATACACTGCTAAGGACATTTGTGTGCAAGAGTTTATGTGGACTCACACTTCCCCTTGAGTACCCGGGGACAGAATGTCCAGAGCCCGTGACAGCGCGTCTCTAACGTCTTTAAGAAGCTGCCGCGCATCCCAAAGCCACGGTGGGAATTCTAGTCCCTCCACAGCCTCGCCCACCACCTGCCATCACCAGACTTCATGCTGTTCGCTCTAACAGGTGTGTAGTGGGATCTGACCGTGGCTTTAACTCGCACTTCTCTGATGATGGGCGTTCAGCATCTTTTTAGGCACTTACTTGCCATCCGTGTATCTTCTTTGATGAAGCGTCTGCTTGTTCAAATCTTACGTGGGGGTCCTCTGGCGGGCTGGGGGGGGTCGGAGAGGGCTGCTCTTACTATCGAATTTTGAGAGTTCTTTTTATGTTCTTCGTACATACCCTAATGCATGTATGATTTACAGATATTTTCTCCTAGTTGGTGTTTTTCCATCCTTTCTTTCAAAGAGCAGAAGTTTTAATTTTTTTCTTTGTGAAAGTATGCTGGCTCTATTGCGATATACGTCACTGACCACACATTTCACCCACTTGAGTGAAAGGCTCAAAGATTTTTGGTGTATTCACACATTTGTGCAAACACCATCACAGTTGGTTTGGGAACGTTTAGAATATTTTCATTACCATCACCCCCTCCCCCAGCTCCAGGCAACTACTCATAAAAGACTTTTAATTTGATGACTCTGATTTATCAAGTTTTTCTTCGATGGATCTCACTTTTGGTGTCGCATCTAAAATATCCTCACCTAATTCAAGGTCACAAAATTTTTTTCTCTTCACCCCCCCCCTCAACCCCCCCGGAGTCTCCTAGTTTTAGGTTTTACATTTAGGTCGCTGATCCATTTTGAGTTAATTTTTGTAGATGGTGGGTGGCATGAATTGAAGCTCTCTTTTTGCATATGGATATCCAAATGTCGCATTTGTTGAAAAATTCCCTCCACTGAATCGCTTGCGTACCTTTGTGAGAAATCAGTTGTGGGTGTGTGTGCAGGTCTATTTCTGTCCACCTTGACCTCTCCGTCCATTCTTGCGCTACTGTCACGCTGTCCGGACCTCTCAGCCCCACGAGGAGTCCTGACACAGGGCGATGCTGGCCCCCCAAACCTCGTGCTTCTTTATCAAACTTGTTTTGGTTTTTCCAGGTCCTGCTCTGTTTTCAGAGCTTCTCAATCTCTACCAAAGAGAGCCTGCTGGGGTTTAGATGGGATCCCATTGACCCCATATATAATTCTATATCATTCGGGGGCAACGGGCCTCTTACTGATATTGGGTCTTCCAAGCGATGAGCGGAGTGTGTCTCTCCACTTAGTTAGATCTTCTTTAAACACTCAGCAATTACTTCTAGGATTTAGCGGACAATTCTTAGACAACTTTTGCCAGATTTGTCCTTAACTGTTTCATATTTTTGGTGCCATTGTAAATTATTCTTAAAATTTTTTAAAATCTATTATATAGAATACAGTTGATTTTTATATCCTGGTGTTTATCCCGCAAACTTACTAAACTCACTTATACGTTCCAGCAGACTTTTTTTTTTTTTTTGTAGATTCCATTAGATTTTCTGCATAGATGACTTCTGCTGTTTAAATAAAATAAAGGCAGCTCTGTTTCCTCCTTTCCAGTCTGAACGCGTTTTCCCTCTTGCCTTCCTTTGCTGGCTAGGACCTGCAGGACGTGCAGAGCGGAGGTGGTGGGGCTGCAATTTCGTCCTGCTCCTGGTCGTACGAGAAAGCTGTGGGTCTTCCACGTCGAGGATGGGCTTGGCTGTGGGTGTTTCACAGATGCCCTTCTTTTCCTAGTTTTCCGAGACTTTTTTGGTCAGGAATGGATGTCGGATCTTATCGAATGCTTTTTCTCTGCCTCTATTTTGAGATAATCATACTTTTCTTTTCTTTTCTTTTTAGTTTGTTAATGTGGTGAACTACATCGATGGATTTTCAAATGTTAAACCAGACTTCATTCCTGACATAAACCGCCCTAGGTCAGCCAGATCATCCTCTTACTACATCATTGGGTTTGACTTGCTAAAATTTTGTTGAGGATCTTCGTACCCATGTTCATGGGGGATATTGGCCCGTAGTTTCCCTTTTCCTGTTACGTCTTTGTCTGGTTTTCACTCCATGGCAATCAAGACAGGCCTCATGGAATGAGCTGGCAAGTGCTCTCTCTGCTTCAGTTCTCCGAAAAATCTTGTGTACGGTTGGTGTTATTTCTTCCTTCAGTGTTGGGTAGAATCCACCTGTGAAGCCATCTGGGGCTGGGGTTACTCTGTGGGGTGGTTTCTCCATGCTGCTTTGAAACACCCGGGCAGATTTTGTGTGTGTGTGGAGTGGGGAAGAATCTCCAGCAGACTCCCTGCTGAGTGCAGAGCCGGATGTGGGGCTCCATCTCATGACCCTCCAAGACCATGACCTGAGCCAAAACCAAGAGTCCCATGCTTAACCGACTGAGCACCCCCCAGGTGCCCCCGATACATACAGGTTTTTTTTAGTGGTACAGAAACTTCCTCCTCTCCGAGGCCGGTCTCCAGAGGCAAGCACGTTGAGGGCCCTTAGCTCATTCTGGCCATTGCTTCCAGATGACACTTAATCCCTCATTTGACAAATATTTGCTGAGGGCCTCCTGCATGCCAGGCATTGTCGTAGGCCCTTGGGAAGCTTCGTGAACAAGACAAAGATCCCTGCCTTCCAGAAGCTTCATCCTGGGGTGGACATAATTCCAGCAGGACAGACAGACACCCAGTGGACATCATGAATATGTAAGTTGGACTGTACCTGGAAATATCATAAGTGCTTTGGGGAAAACCCAGAGCGGGGTAAGAGGGGGGGCTCAGGAGTGCTGGGCGGGGGGTGGGTATCACTGAAAATAGACCCGGTCAGGGAACACCGGATTGAGAAGAGGACATCTGAGCAAAGGCTTGGAAGGGGTAAGGGAGTCAAGCCATGTGGCTACCTGGAGGGGCAGGAGGCAGTGTCCCGGGCAGAGGTAACAGCTAGTGCAAAGCCCCTGGGGCGCGAGTGTGAGCGCTGTGTTCTGGGATCAACAAGGAGGTGGTGGGGTGGCTCGGGGGCTGGAGGGGAGTCAGAGAGGAGGTCAGAGAGAGGATGGGGAGGGTCACCCCAGCACTTAGGCCTTGGAGGCAATTGTAAGGACTTCAGCTTTTTTGTCCCTGAGCAAAACAAGGAACTATTTCTGGGTTCTGAGCAGAGTGGGATGGACCCACCTGCATTTTGGAGGAGTGTGGCTTCTCTGTTGAGGACCGGTTCTGGGCCAGGAGGGGAGACAGACCAGTGCAGCATCCCTGGCAAGAGATGATGGTGGCCTTGGGCAGCAGAGGGCTCTGGGTCAGCCCCAGAGCAAAGTCAACAGGATTGGTTGGTGGGCCGGAGGCGGGAAGCAGAAGAAGGAGGCAGTCCTGGACATTCCAAGTGTTACTGGAGCCTGAGCCCCTGGAAGGACGGCGTTGCCGAAGTCGAGGTGGAGAAGCCTGCTTGTGGAGCAGGTGTGCGGAAGATCGGGTGTGCAGTTTTGGCCGTGTTGAGTTTGGGTTGCTTCCTTGCTGGCCTGGTCAAGTTTGTAGGCAGATGTGGTTGCCGGAGCTGGGAGACGTGCAAACCTAGGAGGGGATGTACAAAGGGGCATTTAAAGCCACGGATGGAGGAATCCTGCCTTACCTCTGCATCCGGGCTGAGATGCTATCTATCGTCTGCCTCTGCTGGGATGGTTGAGGACTGAATCCAGTTCCACCCACCCTTGCCAGCGGAGGTGGACCACCACCTTGAACTGCCCCGTGGCTTGCCCGTGGCACTTTGTCCCACCCCATCTCCGGAGCCATGGAGGACACTGTCCCAGCATGTCTCGGATCCCTGCCCTCCGGGGCTCCCTCTGCTCGCCACACCCTTCCTCCGCAGCTCTGCTTCTCGGCATTGCCAAGGCTGCTGACGCTGGTCGTCCGCTCTGCAACCAATTCTCGTTCAAGCTTGCTTTATAGGTGGTACTAAAGTCACAGATCAATAGCAGTTATACAATTATGACTGTTTATAAAAATGCAATGCACAGCTGCATGGCATAGAATGATTATGGCTTTGGTGCTTTCCCCTGGCCCTCTGGGTGTCCTCCCTTTTGTTGGCATCGCCTGCCTCTGTCGCTTACTTGTTCTTCCAGCTGGCCAACAATCGACAGAGTCTGTCAAAGACCTCCGAATGGGAGAGGAGCCTCTGGGGTTCCCTGAGCCAGTGGGAGGGTTGCTGGGCAGTGAGCGCCCTGCTCTGCTGGCGTCCTGGGCCTGACTCGCCTTGCCTGGGGTGTCCCCAGCGTTACTACCAGGACTAGTAGTACTAGTACCACCCATACTATAGCACCAGCAGTACTACTAGCACCACAGATACTACTAGCACCACTGATACTATTAGCACCACCAACACTACTAGCACCACCACTACTAGTACCAGCAGTACTACTAGCACCACGGATACTACTAGCACCACTGACACTACTAGTACCAGCAGTACTACTAGTACCACCAATACTACTAGTACCACCAACACTACTAGTACCAGCAGTACTACCAGCACCACTGACACTACTAGTACCACCCATACTACTAGCACCACCAACACTACTAGCACCACCAATACTACTAGTACCAGCAGTATACTAGCACTGCTGACACTATTAGTACCACCGACACTACTAGTACCACCGATACTACTAATATCACTGATACTACTAGTACCAGCAGTACTACTAACACCACTGACACTACTAGTACCACTGATACTACTAGCACCACCGATACTACTAGCACCAGCAGTACTACTAGTACCAGCAGTACTACTAGCACCACCGATGCTACTAGTGCCACCGATACTACTAGCACCACCGACACTACTAGTACCAACAGTAATACTAGTACCACCCATACTACTAATACCACCCATACTACTAGCACCACCCATACTACCTCCTTTTCTAAACTGAGGCGGAATCCACATTAAATAAAATGAACTGACTTGAAGTCTAGATCAGCAGCCCCGGGAAGCCATGAATCCCCTCTCTGGGGGTTGGCCGGTGCTGGACGTTTCCTAACCACGGACTCACGCGATAGGGCACCTTCCGTGCCTGGCGTCTTTCCCCGAGTGCCATGCTCTGACTGTTCCACCCACGTGGTGGCTGAGCACGGCTCCATCGTGTGGATCGGCCACAGGTTGTGTATCTGCTCACCTGTTGCGGACGCTGGGCTGCTTCCACGTTTTGGTAGCTGTGACAAGGCTGCGTGGGGCGCAGGGACTTGCGGGAGTGTCTGCGTTCAGTTTTCTGGGCGCCTGCCTGGGGTGGGGCTTCAGGCCGAGGGCAGTCTCTGTGTGGCTGTCGGAGGACGCCAGGCTGGGGCACAGCCTAAGTAGCTCCCTGAGAGGGGTCTGCGGGAGGCGTGGCTGCAGGCCCATCACAGCTGCCCGGAAGCCGCCCTGCCCACCCCGAGAAAGGAGGGTCCTTCTAGAGGAAAGGGGGTGCCCTCACCAGCGGGGCTGGGATGCAGGGCCGAGCCCTGTATTGGGCATTTCTGGGTCCCCCTGTATGGCTGAGCTTGCTTCCCACCCCGACTGGTAGAAAATCGAGCTAAGCCGTGGTCGATTGGGAGCTCCTGCACGTCCGACACCGACCTTGTTTTTACAACAGGCCTAGTACTTGTGATGAGTGATGAGTGAGGGAAAGGGCTCGGGGAGGTGGACTATCTGCTCTGTCTGTGCCCCAAAGTCCTTGCTCGGCGGCCCAGCCCTGGGCACTCCCCTGCCCAGGGGTCAGGGCGCCGGGGGACTTGGCACTACAAGGTCAGCCTTCCCCTGGGCAGTGAGGTTTCTCTGCTCGCAGTTATCCAGAGAGCTGAGTCTGACCTTAAACTCGACGGACTCACCTGGCAACCGGCCTGTCTGGCTCCGGGAACAGAGGCTGTGCCGGAGAGGTACGCAGCCCTGGGGCTTCTGGGGGCTGGGTCGTGCCCGCCGTGGACGCCGTGTGGCCAGCAGTGGTACCGGGAGGCTGGGCTGGCGATCTTGCTGTCCTGCGTACTGGCTGCGCGGCCTTGGGAACATACTGGGGGTCCCCACCGATCTCTCCCCTTCCACCTGCCTAACTGAACCCCGATTATTCAGAGGGAGCCACGTGCCCGGCTGGAAATCCTCACCTCCCCACACTCTTTGCAGCTAGGGTTTGCTGTGTGAGATGTGAGAAGGGATTTCAAGACGTTTCTGGAAAAGATTGTGCTTTCCTGCTGTGGTGCTATCCCTTCCCCCTTCCCTCTTCTTGTTTTGCTGCTGAAAGCGTGGACATGAGACCTGGAGGGGCAGCAGCTTCCTTGCAGACAGCTCAGCTGTGCTGAGGATGCTCGGGGAGCCGGGACTCCAGACCGCATCAGGGAGTCGAGCCCGTTTTTTTTCATCTTGAAAATGATGCTGAAAAAGTTTTGTCTATCCTGGAGTTACTGTGTAGCCCAAGTAGTTCATTCTTTCATGTATTGAGAGTCCATTGGCAGTTTGCCCTCGGCCAGGCCTTCAGTCTGGAGACACTCGGGCCAGGAGCTCACAGGGGCTTGGGAGAGACAGCCATGGACACAAACCAGCAGGCAAGGGACCCATGGAGGGGTCACGGGAGCATGAGGAGGGAGCCCTGCTCTGGTGACCACATTCTCTCCCACAGAACAGGGCCTGCCAGGTCCCTTCAGTCCTGGGGACGTCAGAATGGGGGACAGCCTATTCTAGAGGCATCCATGACCAGAACAGCTGGAGGCTTTCCCAGGGCTCTCGACTCCCATCTCCTCAGAGGGGCTGAGACTAAGAATCGCACCTTTCCTTCTGGCAAACGCTCCCTGGCTCCCCCACCCCCATGAGTGACTGGCCCCTGGGCCTCAGGTTCTCTGTCCATAAGGGAGCAGACTGAACCAGAGGACAGAAGTTTCTTATAGCTCTGGAAGGCATTCTGTTAACTCTAGACAGGTCGGACCCTCATGGCTTCTTTCCCAGGGCAGACAAGGAATAGAAACAGAGAGGGCAAGTGGTTTTCTCCAGGTCACACAGCAGATCAGTACAAACAATGTGGCAACGTCCATAAGCATGTAGCTGTACAGACGCAATTTCTTAATGTGCCAGTGTATCTAGGAAGAATTCCTAGAACTGGAATTGTTGGCTCAAAGAGTCAGATCAAGCTTTATAATTTGGTCAGATGCTGAAAAAACGCTCCCCAAGAAGTTCACTGATGTGTGTGCACAAGAAACTCATTTACCCACCAACACAGTGTGGAATCAAAGTTTCTGATTTTTGCCAAATAAATAAGCGAAAAATTGTTTTTCAGGATAGTTTTCATTTGTGAAAAGTGGAATTGACACCAAAAAAGCGTGAGTAACAAAAGGATCAATAATTTGGACCTCATCAAAATTAAACACTTGTACATCAAAGGAAGTGAAAAGACAACCCAAGAATGAGAGAAAATTCTGCAGATCACTTATCTGATAAGGACCCGGTATCCAGAATGGGTACAGAACTCTCACCGCTAGGCAACAAAAAGACAAACGACCCAATTAAAAAATGGGCAAAGGAGACACACAAAGGGCCAATGAGCACATGAAAGGATGCTCAACAGCACTCACTAGTCATTAGGGAGACCCGGACCCACCAGGATGGTTAGGACTAAAAGAGGAAATCGCAAGTCTGGGAAAGGCGAGTCCACTCCGAGGTATGTACTCAAGAGGAATGAAAACAGGGAACCAAAAAATTCACAGACGCCAAAAGGTGGAAACAAGGCAAGTGCCCATTAGAGGGTCAACGGGTAAACTGGTGCAGCCGTAAAGAGGAACGGGGCTCTGACACCTGCCGCGACATGGTGGAGACACGGGAAGCACGCTCCTCGAAAGAAGCCAGACGCAAAAGCCCACATTCTGTACGATTCTATTTATATGAAATGTCCAGCACGGGAAAATCCAGAGACAGAAAGCAGATTGGCCGTTGCTGGGGTCTGGCGATCGGGGAGGATGGGGAGACGGGGTTCCCTTTTGGGGGGATTGGAGATGTTCTGGAATATGCACGGGGTGGCGGCTGCATGACACTGAACGCACTAAAGTCCACTGAATTGTTGACTTGAGAATGGTTAATTTTGCTCTGAGAATTTTACTTCATTAACAAAAAATGAAGTTCAGTGAATTTTAATTTCAAGAGCCGTGTGTCTGTCATTATCTGTGGCCTGGGGAGAGCATTTGGCCATTTTATTGGTGAGTTATTCATTTTAAAAAATTGATTTGTAGGGGCGCCTGGGTGGCTCAGTCGTTGAGCGTCTGCCTTCGGCTGGGGTCGTGGTCCCCGGGTCCTGGGATCGAGCCCCGCGTCGGGCTCCCTGCTCCGCGGGAAGCCTGCTTTCCCTCTCCTGCTCCCCCTGCTTATGTTCCCCGTTTTGCTTTGTTCTCTCTCTGTCAAATAAATAAATAAAATCTTTAAAAACATTCCTTTAAAAAGAAAATAAAAATAATAATTGTAATAAAAAATTATTATTCTTTTCCTTTATGGCTTCTGGTTTTGGAGTGAAATTTAGAAAGATTATTTTTAAAACCCTCTATGCTTTCTTGTAGAACTTTTAAGGTTTTTAAATCTTTATTTTATTTTATTATTTTTGTTTGTTTTAAAGATCTTATTTATTTGACAGAGAGAGCACAAGCAGAGAGGGAGAAGCAGGCTCCCCGCTGAGCAGGGAGCCTGATGTGGGGCTCGATCCCAGGACCCTGGGATCATGACCCGGGCCAAAGGCAGCCGCTTAACCAAATGAGCCACCCAGGCGTCGTGGGTTTTTCAACCTTTAAAATCTGGAGTTTCTTTGGTGTTCGGTGTGAGGTTCGGATACAACTTTTATTCCAGATGGTGCCCTGCTCATCCCAACACCATTTACTAAATAATGCGTCCTTTTCTTCTTGGGTTGAAATAACCCCTGTCATGGGGTCGGTCCTGGGGAATCATTCTTGGAGACTAAGAATGGGGCGCAGGGGGTTTATTGGGGAGCATTCTCAGGAAGGACAGCTGCGGGGAAGCAGGACTGGGCAGAGGGCAAGTCTAGAAGAGCAGCCCCACTGACCCATGGGGGCTCCGGAGCTGGGGTGGCCCCGCAGGGAGCCCTGAACGCGGCCTCGTGCCCTCCCATCCACCAGTCCTCACAACAGTATGGAGACAGTCGTCCCAAGGGCGGTGCCTGGGGAGGGACTCAGCTAAGGGCAGGTGGGGGACAGGTGTCCCAGACCTGAACGGGGGCCCCCAGCGGCACATCCCAGCATCATCTCCCATCTACCCCTTAGACCCACGGCATCCACATTTGTGGAGCAAACTCTCCCACCAGGAGCTCTGCTTGGTCCCCACACGAGTTCCCTGGGGCTGCTGTAACAGACTAGCACACACTGCGGGGCTCGAAACTACAGAGGTATTCTCTCGTAGTCCTGGAGGCCGCAAGTCTGAAGTCACGGTGTTGCCCGGCCTCTGAAGGCTCCGGGGGAGGGTCTCTCCTGCCTCTTCCAGCTTCTGGCAGCTCCAGGGGGTCCTTGGCTTGTGGTCTCGACCCTCAGGTCTCTGCCTCTCTTCTCATGACCTTGTCATGTCTGTGCTCCCCTCTGTCTCTTGTAAGGACACTTGTCCCCGGAGTGACCCAATGCAGTTCCTGCAGCTTGCTCACCGCATGTGTATGTCCCTCTTTTTTTTTTTTTAAAGATTTTATTTATTCATTTATTTGACAGAGAGAGACACAGCGAGAGAGGGAACACAAGCAGGGGGAGTGGGAGAGGGAGAAGCAGGCTTCCCGCCGAGCAGGGAGCCCGATGCGGGGCTGGATCCCAGGACCCTGGGATCATGACCTGAGCCGAAGGCAGACGCTTAACGCCTGAGCCACCCAGGCGCCCTGTCATTTCCCTTCTTGACACCCACCTGCTCCCAACTTTCCAACCCGCTGTCTCGTGCCATGTGCCGTGAGGGCGTCGGCGCCAGGCTGGCCCACGGTGCGGCTTGCCGAGGACTGGGGCCTGCGGTCACCGTGGGTCTCTCGGTGCTAAAACGGGGCGGCCGGTCACCCTGCAGCATGTCCTTCTCCCGTCCCAGTGAATGCTCGGTGACAGCTGCAAGGGAGTCACTTCTATTGGTTAAAACCCATCCTGTTTCTCTCCTGCCCAAGCTTCCAAAGTGCCTCAAAATAAAACTACCCCCCGCCCTGTGTGGCTCGAGATCTGGGGGAGGGGCGGCTTATACAGGACACCCGGCCACCCTCGTGTCTTTAGACAACTTTGCCTTTGAAATTGGCTTTGCTTCCCGTGGTTGCTGTAGCCGATCAGCACACACCGGGGGGCTCAGTTTCCCCAACAGCATAACCCACCTCCAGGGTGGCTTGAAACAACAGGAACATGTGTGTTTCCAGTGCTGGATGCCCCAAGTCCAAAGTCAAGGTGTCGATACCATTGTGTGGTTCTTCCGGAGACTCTGAGGGAGAATCCTAGCTTCTGGGGGCTGGGGGGGTCCCGGGCTCAGAGCGGCAACCCTCCCGCTGGGCCTCCATCTCTGTGAGTCTCTGTGTCCCCTCCTCTTTGGTGGACGTCATTAGATTTAGGGCTTGTCCTGACTCCGGGAGGCTCTCATCCCAGATCTCCAACTAGTTTCATGTGCGAGGACCCTGTTTCCTCCTTTTCTGAGGTTTTGCATGGACATGAATTTTGGGGTGATGCTGTTCAACCCACTGCAGACATCCTGGAGGTGGGTTATGCTGTTGGGGAACGTGAGCAAGGGGTCTGCATGGCTTCTTGGGACTTGGGGGGGGGCCCGGTGGCTCAGATGCACTGGCCGGCCTCCTCTATGAGCCCCTTCTCCTTCTCCCGAGCCCCTTCTCCCAAGTCCCATCAAGTCCCTTGTGTGCAAGGTGGGTTCCCAGGAAGCTGATCTTGAAGAGGAGGCATGAGATCAGGAGGCACGTAGGTTTTGGGGTCTCACTCAAGGAAGGCTCAGCCGGCCCTGGTGAGCTCTGTAGCTGGGGTGAGCCTCAGGGCGGCTGGAGTTGGGTGGAGGGGGGGGCCGGGTCTTGACACCCCTCCCTCATGGCCCACTGACCTGGGAAGGGTGTGCCCTTGGCTGAGGCCCCCTCCTCCACTGCAGGAACTCCCCAAGGGGGCCAAGAGCTGAGCCTCTGCCAGGAAACCAGCCCCTTCTTCCCGAAGCGGGATCTGGGCGGCCACCACCTAGTACTTGGGACTTTCCAGTCCATGAAGATCCCTGAGTCTCACAGGTCAGGCCTTGAGGCCTTTACTTTTCCGATCAAATCAGTTTGCTGACCCCTGACCCACGACCACACCCACCCACCACAGCCCCAAAGGAGCAGGGCTTTCCCCAGGGCAAGCCCTTTCCAGAATGCCTGCAGCCTCTGGGCCTGACCAGACAGCTCTCTGCCACATCCCAGCCCAGACACCCTCTTGCAGCTCAACCCCCTCGAGGGACCAGCCCTCAACCGGCGGGGAGGTGTCATCCCACTTCACAGAGGAAAGAGCCCCTTGCCCCATTCTTGTGTCTGGCTGGACTGTCTGACCCCAGAGGCCAGGATCTCCCCCAATTCAGGCCCTCCTTGGGGACTGAGGGCCCCTGAGCATCCCCAGCCTGGGTCCAATTTCCCAAAGACACCGGATTCCCTGGGGATTACAGGCACGCTGAGTGATGGCCGTGGGGCTGCTGTCGTGGCTCCTTTTGGAAGAGGGATGTAAAAATAGACGGGCTGACCTCAGCTCGGCCTTTCCCGAGCCCCCCCTCCCAGCCCCCCTCTAACTGGGGAAGGCACCAGCCCCTGAGGACTGGTGAGGATCCCTCTGGAGGCCACCAAAGCCGGGGAAGGGACAGCCATGGTCACAAAGCTAGTGGCCAAGAGGAAGATGAGGCAGGGGAGGGAGGGCACTGAGAGTTTTTTGGAAAGTCAGAAAATATTTGGGGACAAAATCTCTTAGATCCACAAGTAGCTTATGATATTCTAAGTCACCAGCGTTAGGTGGCTGGAGTGGGGGAGGAGGCTGAACGGCTGGGGGTGGGTCTGGGGATAGATCTTGTCTCGGGATCAGAGATGTGAAGCCTGGACAGTAATGAAATGATGATACTAACATTCATCTATTAATAATAGAATAATTATAAGATAATAACAGCCACCCCTTGTTAAGCACAAACTACATGCCAAGTGCTTTGCATATTTATAATTTTTCTTTTTTTTTTTTTAAGATTTATTTATTTGAGAGAGAGAGTTGGGGGAAGGGTAGAGGGAGAGACTCTCCAGCAGATTCCCTACTGAGCGCAGAGCCCACCAAGGGACTCGATCTCATGACCCTGAGATCGTGACCCGAGTGGAAACCAAGAGTCAGACGCTCAACTGACTGAACCACCCAGGGGCCCCCAGACCCAGTATTTTTATCCTCATTTCACAGTGGAGGCCAAGGCTCAGAGAGGTGAGGTAGCTTGCCTGAGGCCACACAGCTGGAAAGAGGCAGAACTGGAGTGTGAACCCGGGGTCCCTGGCACCCCTCACGGCTGAGGTGAGACCAGGGTTGGTCCCTGCTGTGAGCTTTCCATGCACGGCTGGCTGCACCTATAGTCTCCTGGGCTCCCCTGGACTCTGGAGGCAGCGGGGGGCCCCCGGGCTGCCTTTCCTCCCCTGCACCGGCCCGGCCTGCGACAGGGTGGTGGAAGGGAGGGATAATTGTGGCTCCTTATTCATGGTCACATCTCTGTCCCCTGAGTCGGTTGGGGCCTAAGGAAGGGCTTGCCAACCAGCTGCACAGCTCCGAGCAGGCCAAGATGTCAGCTTTGCATCTCTGTGAACAGGACTCAGGCCCCAATTTGGAACACTGACCCCCAGCCTGCCCCAGCTGCCGTCTGAAAGCCTCCTACCGGGGCCCCAGACCTTCTTGCTCCACTCCCTCCAGGGCTGAACTTCCCCACCATGGCCTCACCAAGCTCCTGGCAGCCAGGTGGCCCCCTCATTCAACCCCCACTCCGGCTTTGGATGTCTTCCGTGACCAGGAATAACCAAGTGACTCAAGCGGTGCCCAGAGTGCTGACCCTGCTCCCTGGGTACTTTTCCTTACAAGGCCGTGTGTGCCTGCTGCTAGCCCGGAGGTGACGTGTAGGACCCCTGTCCCATGTCATCCCTCCATCCATCCCTCCCTCCATCCCTCCATCCATCCATCTG